CAAAAAAAATGATTGAGCATAGAAACCATGGCTGCTGTATTAACCATGGAGTCCTTATTGCCTTCCCAATGCCTTCCCCAGTGTCCAGACCATGATCATGGTCAATGCATATTTATGGAGTGATCAAATGCAGTCATGTTTAAAAGTATTCATTTCATGTCAGCCAGGACTACATTTGAGTTTTTCTTTCTACATCGTAACCTTGTAAAAAAATATTAAAATCCATCGACAATAGACAAAACATGAATTGATGGAGGCAAGCTCTTGTTAGTACTATATTTGTTCCTGTCATCGTTGTTGTCATCACCACCACCATTTTCAGTATCATCACCATTATCATTATTATCACCATCACCATCTATGATAGGTTTGCTTTTGATGGTTCGGTCACTCAAATGAAACCACTGTCCCTAAGTGATAGCTGTATTATGAAAAACCAAAGTTTAGAGATTTTGCTTAAATTTGCTTTGTGTTAATATTGAGAGTTTGGATTTTATTCTGCAGTCAATTAGTTACTTAATATAATTTTTAATTTAAAAATGTTTTAAATTGAAAAAACTCAAAAAAGTTACCCACACTTCCTTACTCATTAATAAAGCAAAACAGTAACAACAACAACAACAACAAAAAACCCTGAGACTTGAGGATGTACAAATGGGTCAGTGGGTTGGAGAATATTATTTTTATCTCCTCCACAAAGGGTCAGGCAAGGTAAACATACTTTGAGTTAAGGAAAGCCATCTTACTTAGGCATTGTTCAGTGGTCTTCTTCCATACTTTTCTTAGCCCTTGGTTCAGTTTAGAACCCTGGAACGCCTCTTAGGAGATTGAGATGTGATTTAATAGAGATGGTTTAAATTATTCCAGCTCAGTAACTTCTAAAAGTAGTGATTTTGCCCTCAGGTGACATTTAACAATATCAGGAAACATATTTGGTTGTCACAACTGGGTTGGTTAACAGAACCAATGCTGCTGGCATCCAATGTGAGGCCAGGGCTGCTGCAAAACACCCTACGATGGCCAGTACAGCTCCCACAACAAAGAATTTCCCAGGCCAAAATGTCAAGAGCGCTGAAGTTGAGAAAAGTTTTGTGGAACAATAAAAAATAATAAACTTTTTTTTCCATGCAGCAAGGATGACTATCACAAACAAAACAATGAGCAAAAAAATCAGTCAGAAAACAGAACATGAATATGTGTTATATGAAGTTCAGAAACAGATTAAACTTAGCTTGCTGATAGAAATCAGAGTAGTGATTAACCTTGGGGAAAAAGAAAGAGAAAAATTACTGTAATTCAAGTAATGTTTTATATTTTTATCTGGATGGGAGTTACAAGAATGTATTTATTTGTAAATAAGTAGGTACCTATATACTAAAGTCTCCAGTAGGCTTCGAACTTCACCTGCAACATTGGCCCTTCCTGGCCTTCAGACTACAACTAGAATGTCGGGTCTCCTGGGCCTGCTGGTCCACCTTGCAGAATATGCACTTGATAAACTCCATAATTATGTGACCCAATTCTTTAAATAAATTTACTGCTACATATATACACATCCTATTGGTTCAGGGTGTGTATTTTTTGTTTGTTTTTGAAAAGAATTTTTATGAGTTTATTTTTTATGTTTTATTGTGTATGCTATTACAGTTGTGCCAAAATTTTCCCCCTTAGGCCCCCCTCCTCCACTCAACCTGCCACCCCCTCCCATATGCAATCCCCACACTGTAGTCAATTTCCATGGGTCCTTCATATATGTCCTTTGACTAATTGCTTCACCTTCTTTCAAATAGTCCCCACTTCCTTCCTCCCCTCTTACCACTGTCAGTCTCTACCATGATTCTATGCCTGTGGTTCCCTTTTGCTCATTAGTTTGTTTTGTTCATTAGATCTTCTTCTAAGTGACATTATATGGTATTTGTCTTTCACCAACACAAGAGCCCCCAGTTCCATCCATGCTGTCACAAAAGGTAAGAGTTCATTCTTTCCCTCCGCTGTGTAGAATTCCATTGTGTAGATATGCCACAGTTTTTCAATCCACTCATCTAATGATGGGCATATAGGCCGTTTCCAACTGCTGGGTGTTGTAAATAGCACTGCTATGAACATAGGGGCGAACAATTTGTTTTTGAGTTGGTATTTCAGGATTCTTCGGGTATATTCCCAGCAATGGAATTACCGGATCAAAAGGTAGTTCCATTTCTAATTTTTTGAAGAAATTCCATACTGTTTTCCACAGTGGCAGCACTAGTCTGCCTTCCCACCAACAGTGCATTAAGGTTCGTTTTTCTCCACATCCTTGCCAACACTTGATGTTCGTTGATTTAGTGATGACTGTTGTATTGGCAGGTGTGAAATAATATGTTATTGTGGTTTTAACTTACATCTCTCTGATGGCTAGTGATGTTGAACATTCTTTCATTTGTCCATGAGCCCTCTGTATGTCCCCCTTGGAGCTGTGTTTATTCAGGTCTGTTGCCCTTTTTTTCCTCTAGAAGGATGGATCATTAATTTAATAAAAATGATTAAAAGGGGCACTTACTGTTTGGATCACTCCATGTCTATTTTTTTCCCTTTTTTAAAATTTTAAATCATGTTTATTCAATTACAGTTGTCTCTATTTTTCCCTCTCTTTCTTCCTCCACCCATCCCACCATCCCCTCACTCCCACAGTCAATTCCCACCCTGTTGTCCATGTCCATACGTCATTCATACATGTTCTTTGGCTAGTCCCTTCCCCTTCTTTTCATCATTGTCCTCCTTCCCCATCCCCTCTGGTCACTTTCAGTCTGCTTCATGTTTCCATGATGTGGTTTATTTTGTTCTTGAGTTTATTTTGTTGAATAAATTCCACTTATAGGTGAGATCTTGTGGTGTTTGTCCTTCACCGACTAGATTCTTTCACTTAGCATAATATTCTCCAGTTCCATCCATATTGTCAAAAAAGGTATGAGTTCTTTCTTTCTTCCTTCCTTCCTTCCTTCCTTCCTTTCTTTCTTTCTTTCTTTCTTTCTTTCTTTCTTTCTTTCTTTTCTTCTTTCATTCTTTCTTTCTTTCTTTTTGAAATGCAGATTGATTTTATTTATTTATTTTTTTAAATGTCAAAACCCATTACAAAATATTAAAGAATTTAACTCCATTATAAAGTCTCAGGAATTAAAAGAACATGACACTGGCACAGAAATAATCAAGTAGATCAATGAAATATAATGAGCATTCCAGAAACAAACATATATATCTGTCTAACAATGTAATGTATGATTCAATTGATATTTCAAATCAATGGTAAAAATAAGGCTTATTCTACAAATAAGGTGCATGGACCACTATTACTTGAAATAAAACAAGTATAGACCCCTATTTCACTCATTATACAAAATATATTCTGGTGAGTTAAAGATCAGTATGTAAAATCTAAAGAGTTTTAGGAGAAAATACAAAATAATTTTTTCTCACCCTGAAATAATATATTCAAACCCAGAAGCTATAAAATAAAATATTGACAATATGACTATATTAAACAGTTAAGAATATACATTAATACACAAATAAAAACACTTACAGAACAAGTAATAGAAAAGGAAAATATTTGCAACACTTTGAAAAAAGGGTTAATAGTATTGTTTTCCAGTTTTTTTAGGGAAAATATTCTACAAACATTTAGTCAAAAAATGGATAAAGAAACCAAAAAGTCATTTAAAGCTTTTTAAAAATAATTGAAATAGACAACAAATATACAAAAACAGGATTATTTTCAACAAATAATAAACTCAAAATTAAATTAATGCATCAGAGGAATCAAGATGACAAAGGAGTGAGTGAAAGTCACACTGACCACCTCCGTGGACCACCTGGAATTACAACTAAATTGTGGAGAAATCACCTGGAGCAAACAAGCGAACAATAGCAAGAGAGAAGCCTGATAACCTCGGAGACAGAAAAATCAGTTTTAGTGCAATCTAACTGGTAAGGAGTGCAGTACAGACTCGAGAAGTCAGGCGGGGCACCCATGGGTAGCAGCTCAAGAAGAATATAGAAAGAACCAGATGGATCCCCCTGAAAAGAGTGGGATCTAAAACAAAAGCAGGTATCTCCAGTCTGCAGCGCCAGAGCCCAAAAAGTACACAGATAAACAGCCAGCTGCAAAAAGGAGCAGGGTTGATCTCTGCCGGAGGTGGGGGGCTGGAGACACAAAGAGCTTTTTAAAGGGCCAACACCTAAATTTTTATTTGCACCTACTTACCCTGGTCTCCAGCAAAGGCAGGGGCAGAGTCACCTAGAGACACCTGAAGAGAGACTGGAGAAGGAGACTTTGGGGAGAGAATGTAGAGAGTAACCGGGAGGAGCCTGGTGCTGACTCTTCCCCCTTGCACCAGCCATCTTGCTCAGGCAGAGACAACTACCCTGAGCAGCAGCGTGAGAGGACCCAATAACTCCACACCGAGGAGGGACGCCCCCCGCCCTGAGCTATCTAAGCCAGCTGCTGAGTGCAGAGCGACTAGATTAACAGCTGAAGGAGACAGACACACACAAACAAGTTAGATTCCTAGAAGTCTCGAACAGACTACCTAAGGTCAGGCAGAGACGACATCTGACATCATCAGAGGCAGATCCAGAAAGAAAAAACAGCAGTCTCCTAACATAGACATTCACACCACATAGACAGGAACTTAAGACAGATCAACTTAAGAAGCAGAAGCGAAAAAGAAGAGTCTCACAAATAATGGGAAAATAAAGAAACACTCCCCTCCCACTCGAAGGGAAAGGAGGAATCCCCACAAAGAGAACTAAATCAAATAGAGGCAAGTAAACTATCAGATATTGAGTTCCAAACAACAGTTCTAAGGAAGCTCAATGAGCTCAGTGAGCTCAGAGAGAATTACAAAAAACTACAGGGAATCTATGAGGAACTTACTGCAAACTATATCAGCATGAAAAAAGACATAGAACTGTCAATAAGAGACAAGAGGAAATGAAGACAGAGAATGTTCCTATGGAAATACTTTCCATTAAGACCACTAAAAGCTGATTAAAATTAGCTGGGCAGTATTCAACAGATGGCTCTTCACTCTGCAGCAAGAAATGTTCCTTCTTGTCCTTCATAATTTCCTGCAAGGGAGGCACAGAAGGATATCACTGGAAGAAAGGAACAGAGGAGATAAAATTCCAAAGAATCTGCCAGAAGTCCATCTAGCTGTTGTCTTCATGAGCAAAACTTTCTGTTGAATGAAAAACATGGAATAAATGTGAAACCATAAGTCTTGATTAATTCACAAACATGGAAACTCTCTGCAGAACTTGGGAAAACCTTTTAACCCCTCTGGGTCTCGAGTTCTTTAGATGAAAGTTGTGGTTGCATTACTTCATCTCCATGGTTGCTTGCAGCTGTAGCATTCAGTGATTCTATCCTCACTGACACAATGATACAAAAGGAGCAACAGAAAGAAGAAATGGCCTGGAATGAGGGTCTCATAAAGAAATTTTGGTACCTGGGAATGGGGATGTGTTACAAAAAGTGACCAGTTTAGGAATGACTTTTGCGTATTCTAGGAAGGACTGAAATTCACAGAAGTATTCCCTTCAGGTGATATCTATGCTGATTAGGCATCAGGGATCAGAGAGTTTTACGATAAAGTACCTGAACTTTTGGGGGAACTACAGAAGTAACTCTCAGTAGTCATTTGAAACACTGTTCTTCATGATAACACACACTACTTGATCCATCAGTGAGAAAGGAGGAATGGGGTCCTAGAAAGCATTTCTAGACATCGGTCTTCAAAGGGAAGGGTCACAAATGGTAAATAAGTATAAAGACAAAGTACCACTAGATTCTTCTGAAATACCGCTTGTCATCCTTGAAGGAGTTCTCCATGAAGATCGCAATAGCTTCCCTCTCCCAGGCCGTATGCATGTCCAGAAGTTCCTGGAGCGTGTCTGTGGGGAGCCTCACTTGCTGGGCCGCCTGCTGGCTGTAGCGGTCGGCTGCCTTCTGCACAGCCGCTAAGTTCTCAAGCTGGGCCAGAGTAGTCACCGCATTCTCTAAACAAGGCACCACTCCACTGTTGGTGTGTCCACATACATTACCACCAGAGTCTTCAGCCCTAATAAGCTAGGAAATTTAAAGGGAAAAAAACAAGTTATCACTTAACAATTTGAAGTATATGAGACTACATCTGAATCAGACATGCGCACACACACATACACACACACACCCACCCACCCCACAGCCATCCTACCTCCTTCAACTATCATGCTCTTCATTTTCCTACTGACTCTTCATTTGTATGGTTCTTCTGGACACAGGACTAAAAAAGTTAAATATCTACCTTCATCTAGCTCACAAAAAGGTATCTGGAACACATAGTTTACCATTTAAAAAATAAAAACAAAACTATTTACATAGGTAGACAGATAAGACCAGGTAAATGAGATTATATTTATTCCTAATTGTAAAGTTTCCAGTGGTTTTCCAGGGATGTATATTTCTTCTTGGTTTTCTCTAAACTCCTCAAATATATTTTATGTTCTTCTAGCAAATCACATTTTTTATAAAAAGACTTCCCTTGAGAAAATAGTATATTCTGTTTCTATACTCAGTTAGTGATTTATTTTCAGTAGAGGATTTTTTCAGAAATATGGAAACCACAGCTATTACTGATAATGCTTGTAATTTTGGGAGAAATTTGTTAGCCCTAAAAACTGTGATAATTATAAAACATACACATATCTTCATAAAATATCAATGCCTGTATGGCTGCAATTTTATGTAGAACCAAACAAAAATCTTAGAAAGCACATCAAGAATTTATTAAAAATATATTAGACCCCACAGAATGTGAAAAGGAGACACGTTTCTCAGTAAACATGATTCCCTCTCTGAGAGTCTTGGTTCGTAATTGGGTACGGATGTAAGAACAGAAACTGTTTGTTCCTAGAATTAAGGATCCAGTTCATTTTCTGAAACACTCTCAATATTGGCTAAAAGTTCTTTTCCATTTTTTGGCTGACCAAAGACAAAATGCTTCCATTTTGGAAAGAAATGCTGGATGTACTCTCTGGGGAGATTGGTCATTTGGACTTTGGGATTTCCTCCTGAGGATAAAAAGGCCCAGAGATTACAGTAGGAACAGTTCCAGAGTAAGAAACCTGTAACTGCTCTAAAACTTTGTTTTCCTTAATGAATCCTTTTGTTTTGAATTTTCTCCCCTTTGACTCAAATGGCCTCACCCGCTGTCCTGCCTCACCCACCTCCCTCTCTCTGGCTAAATCATTAAGCCCTCAGGACAGTGAGGTTCTGCTCAGCATCCTATAATCTGAGGAACAAAGTCCTGGGTCAATTGACTACAGAGACAGAGTTTTCAATAAAACTAAAAACAAATTCTGGGCCTCAGTTTTCCTTTAGCTCCAGACCTAAGAAAGTGCAATGATCCCTCAGAACACATCCTTGTGAAGTTGGACAGAACAACTCCATGGCTGACATCAGTACCAGATGCAGTGATCAGTTATGCCCTGCTCTAGCTAGCACCAACCAATCAATAGAGACCACAACCCTAACTCCTTCAGACACCATGACAGTGAATTTTTCCCCTGTGTAACCCATTCATTGGAAGCTATCAGGGGGCCATGTCTTTGAGGATGAGCTACCTATGACTCTGGGCATGATGCCATCTCCTTTATATATCTTTACTTTCCCGGCTGTAAACTTCTGTTTGTGTATCATTAGGCTTTAATGCACACAGGCAGATGGACCCCATCACTCTGGGAACAAACCTAAAGACTTTTATGACAGGGGTTTTTGTTCCTTTACCATTTTTATGTTTATAACTCCTTTAGCATAAACATCCAATGCTTCTTTGAACATCAAACTTATACCAAGGATACAAATCTGGAAGAAATTTGGGGATAGATCTAATCCAGGTAAAAAATTAAAAATCTCTAGCTGGTTTCCCCAGTCTTGAACATGATAGAGTAATTTGCTATCACATATTTATTGAATAAATGACTAATACAGTAAAAGGTCAATTGTAAAGTTTTAGTCTTCTTGATTCCATGTGGAAATTCAGCTGTGAGACCAAAACAAAAGCCACAAGCAAGGAATAATGGAGCAGTATCAGAAATTACACCTTGATTATTTGAGGAACACTATTTTTATGCAAAAAATAATGTGTACAGCATTAGCTTTTTTAAAAGCAAAAACCTCTGAAGAGTAAGTATATCTAAAATGTAGTTTTAAGATGTCACCACCAATCTCTAAGCTTTTTAAGTAAAGACTATATTTAATTTGACAGTGTTGATCTTTTGCCTAGCCAGTTTCTCATTAAGTGTTTTGAGAAAGCATAAATGGAAATGTGAACGCAAGAATAAATGAATCAGAACTGATATTTCTTTCAAGGTTTCATCAGATACACATCCATGTAAATGAAACCAATTAAAATAAATGTTTTGAAATTATCGCATGGGTAAAATATGTAGAAATCAATAGAAAGCTATGATATAGGAAATAAACTGAATGTGTTAATAACTTTTGGAAATATTCCAAAAGCATTGATTAAAAAGATGCATACTTTTTCTGGTTGATTTAAAATATAAAATCAGGTTTGTAGATGATATAGCTATACAGTCAATGGAAAGATATATCCCTGTTTCAAAAGAAAAATATCTAATTGTTTGAAAGATTTTTTGTTGTTGTTGGATAAGCTTTTTATTGAAGTTTGATGCCTAACAAGTATCTGAACAGCTGTTTTCCTCAACACACAAAAAAGCAGAAGCCAAAATAGGGAACACAGTATCTGGTCTTTAGAAGGATTTAGCACCACTATATCCTAAGTTGCCACTGGATGTTAAGTTACAGATTGTGTACAGAACAAATTGGTTTTGAATGATTACACTCAAGGCTCTACTTTTATTTTTTGCTATCAGTTTTATTTTGTATTGGTTTGAGGTATACATCTTAGGGGTTAGACAATCATATACTTTCCCTAGTGTTCACTCCAATATTTGTAGTACACCAACTGGTACCATACAAAGTTATTGCAGTATTAATGACTGTATCTCCTATGCCTTACTTACTTCCCTGTGACTATTTTGTAACTACAAAATTGTCCTTCTTGGTCTCTTCACTTCTTTCACCCAGTGCCCCAATGCCCCCTCTCTCTGGCAACCCCCAGTTTACTCTCTGTGTCTATGAAACTGTTTCCATTTTGTTTGTTTATTTTGCTCTTCAGATTCCACATACAAGAGAAATCATATTGTAATTGTCTTTATCTGACTATTTCACTTAGTATAATAAATACGTTCTAGATCCATCCATGCTGCTCCAAATGGTAAGATTTCATTTTTTATGGCTGATTAATATTCCATCTATATACGTACCTTAACTTTTTTATCCACTTGTCTACTGATGGGATCTGGGGTTGTTGCTGTAGCTTGGCTATTGTAAATAACACTGCAGTGAACACAGAGGTGCATATATTCTTTTAAATTGGTGTTGGGGCTTCTTTGAATGAATCCGCATATGTGGAAAGACAGATCCATTTTTAATTTTTTGAGGAAACGCCACACTATTTTCCATAGTGGCCGCACCAATCCACATTCCTACCAACAGTGCACAAGACTTTCCTTCTCTCTCCATCTTTGCCAACACTTGTTGGTTGATGTATTGATGATTACCATTCAGACAGATGTGAGATGATATCTCATTGTGGATTTAATTTGCATTCCATTGACAATTAGTGATGTTAAGCATCTTTTCATATGTCTTTTGACCATATGTATGTCCTCTTTGGAGAAAGGTCTACTCAGGTTTCTGCCCATTATTTAAATTGGACTACCTGTTTCGTTTTGTTTTGGTTTGGTTTTGTTTTGTTTTTTTTATGTTGAGTAATATGAGTTCTTGATAGATTTTGACTATAAAACTTTGACTTTAAAAATCAGATGTATTATTCACAACTATGTTCTCCCATTTTGTAGGATGTCTCTTAAATTTGTTGATGATTCCCAATTATATGCAAAACCCTTTTAGTTTGATGTAGTCCCATTTGACTATTTTTTCTTTTGTTTTCCTTGCCTGAGAAGATATATCAGGAAAAAAATATTGCTAGGAGAAAGGTCAGAGATTTTACTGCCTGTATTTTCTTCTAGGATTTTGATAGTTTTGAGTCTTACATTTAAATCTTTAATCCATTTTAAGTTTATTCTTGTATAAGGTATAAGTAGGTGATCTAGTTTCTTTCTCTTTTTCTTTTTTTTTGCAAATATCTGTTCTAATTTCTTGAATAGATTTTCTTTACCCCATTGTATGTTCTTGCTTCCTTTGTCAGATATTAGTTGACCACATAAATGTGGGTTTATTTCAGGGCTCTCTATTCTGTTCCAGTGATCTATGTGTCTGTGTGTGTGTGTGTGGAGGGGGGGTTATGCCAGAACCATGTTGCTTGGATTACTATGGCCTTGCAGTATAGTTTGATACTATACTGCAAGGTCACAGTATACCTCAACATTGTTCTTTCTCAATACCACTGAGGCTATTCAAGATATTTTGAGGATCCATACAAATTTTTGGAATACTTGTTCTAGTTTTGCGAGGTATGCCATTTGTATCTTGAAAAAAATTGAATTAAACCTTTAGATTGCATTGGGTAGTATGGACATTTTAATGATGTTAATTCTTTCTATTTATGAGCAAGGTATATGCTTGCATTTATTTGTATATTCTTGCATCTCTTTCTTCAGTGCCTCTATGCCATTCCTTTCCACTGTAATCTTTATTTTTTTTATTCAATTTATAGAGGTGAAATTGATTTGCAAAACCATATAGGTCTGAAGTGTAAAACTCAATAAAATGTCATCTGCCTACTGCATTATGCACACATTATCCCAAGCTAAGTATCTTTCCATCTCCATTTTCCCACATACTCCCCCTCTCTTTCCCTTGGGCTATCACCACACTGTTGTCTGTGTCTATGTGTGTTGGGAAATTCCCTGACTGGTTTCAGGAACTGTAGCCCCACCGGCAGGCAAGAGGGCCCCAAGGCTGGAAATAATCAAGGAGACCTTGGGAAAACAGGCCACTGAAGAGATGAAACCTGTGCCCCTGGCAGGGATGCAGCTCCTGCCTCCTTCACATCACCCTGCTTGGTCCTGTGATGGATGGTAGTCAATGACGGGTAAGATTCCTCAAGAGGAGGGATGACCTAAGTCAGGCACAAATGATATAGACAGCAGGTCAAGGACTTGGGGGACATGAAGAAAGAGCACAAAGGCCTACATTCCTCGGCTAAGCTTGGACATGGCTGGGGTCCTCATTCTATCTGAAAGAAGTCTCCTTGTCTCTTGGAGGCTCCCTCCCCCTGCCTGGCTCAAGCCTGAAACAATACTGGAGACAGCCCTAAACTGGAGTGGGCGGTTCCCAGGGGAAATCAGGCCTAGAAGTAAATTCTTTAAAGCATGCTTTGTTTTTCCCTCAGAAGCTATGCTAGCCAGCTCATGCTGGGAAGGAAATTTACATTATTCACAGACCCTGACCCTAAAATCCTTGCCATTCTCATGTTTACACTCATGTTTACTTGTATCCTCTTGTACCCATGTAAATCGGTGTGTTTCTGCCATTTGTTTTCTTCAAAACATCACCTATTTTCTGTAAACTTTAACATACGGATGTAATGAGATAATCTGCACATTTCTATCACCTAGCCCCACTGATAGCCCTTTCAATAAAAGCCTTTGGAAAAGGGCTTGGGGCCTTCTCCACTGAAGGAAAGAGCCATGTCCCCTCTCCTGGCAAACAAAGAAGTGTTTGTGATGACTCTTGTCTATTCCCTCCATCTGTGACAGCCCCAGGACATGCTCTGTGGGATTCAGAGTCTGGCGTCCCTCCTCAGTTGGCCCCCATGGAACAGGGACCCTCAGATCCAGGAGCCCTGCACCCCCCGTAACATATATGAGGTATGATCCCACTATTTCCACTTCGCTGAGAGTTTTTATCAAAGTGGGTGCTAGATTTTATCAAATGCTTTTTCTGTGTCTATTGATATGATCATTTAATTTTTATCCTTCATTTTGTTTATGTGGTATATCACATTTTTCACAAATATTGTACCAACCTTGCATTCCCAGGATAAATCCCACTTGATCATGCTGTATGATATTTTTCATGTATTGCTGAGTCTGATTTGCTAATATTTTGTTGAGGGTTTTAGCATCTATGTTAATCAGATATATTGGCTCATAATTTTCTTTCTTTGCAGTATCTTTATTTGGTTTTGGAATTAGAATTTCTAATGTTGGACTCATGAAAAGAGCTTGGAAATCTTTTTTCTCTCTTGAGTGTTTTAGAATAGTTTGAAAAGGATAACTTTTAGTGTTTTTTTTAATGTTTCGTAGCATTCGCCAGTGTAGCCATCCAGTCCGGGTCTTTTGTTTATTGGGAGTATTTTTATTACTGCTTCAATTTCACTAGTTATAATTGGCCTATTCAGGTTTTTCAATTTTCCTGAAGTGATTTTGGAAGATTGCATGTTCCTAGAAAGTTTCCCATTTCACCCAGGTTGTCCAATTCACTGGCATGCAGTTTTTCATAGTATTTTCTTAAATTCCCTTATATTTCTGTGGTGTCAGTTGTCACTTCTCCCCTTTCATTTCTAATTTTAATTATTTAGGTCTTCTCTCCTTTTTTCTTCATGAGTCTAGTTAAAGGTTCATCAATATTGTTTGTCTTTTCAAAGAACCAGCTCTTGGTATTATTCTTTTTTTAGACCCTTTGACATTTATTTCCACTCTAACCTTTATTATTTCCTTATTTCTACTTACTCTGGGCTTTGTTGTTCTGCTCTAATCTTTATTATTTTCTTCCTGCTCCTCACTTTGGGATTTTTTTGCTATTCTTTGTGTAAAGTTAGATTATATACTCGAGATTTTTCTGGCTTCTTGAGATATGCTTGTATTGTTATGAATTCCCCCTTTAGGAATGCTTTTGCAGTGTCCTATAAATTTTCAGTTGCTGCATGTTCACTTTTATTTGTCTCAAGGTACCTTTTGATTTCTTCCATGATCATATTGTTGACCCACTTATTGTTTAGTAACATGTTCTCTAGCTTCAATGTGTATTTGTGTTTTTCAGGTTTTTTCTTCTACTTGATTTCTAGTTTGTGATGGGAGAAGATACTTGATATGATTTCAGTCTTCTTAAAGTTACTGAGACTTGTTTTGCTTCCAAAAATGCAGTTGACCCTAGAAAATCTACCCATTGATGTCAATTGCATGTTAAAATCCCCTGCTATGACTGTACTACTGCTGATCTCTTCTTTTATGTCCATCAAAATTTACTTCATATATTCAAGCACTACTATGTTGGGTAAACATAGTAGTTTACAGGCTTATATTCTCTTGTTGGATTGATTCATTTAACATTATGTATTGTCCTTCTTTATCTCTTATTGTATAGGCTCTACTTTATGTGAACTGAAACTCCAGCCCACAGAGCTTTTCAGCTCACCTCGCAGCCACCATTTCTACAGGCTTCATCTAGTCTAAAATACAAGAGCAAACTCCAGAGATGACAGACAGTGTTTAGCACCTCCCACCCTGTACTGGACCATCCACTGCCTAGTCACACTCTGTCACTTGGAATCAGCTTCAAGGCATTCTCCAGGTGCTAATTTTCTATTATGGGGTGATCATTTAACTTCACCTCCAGGGTGAAACCCTGTTCAATCCAGATAAAATCTGGAAAGAAACTCACAAACTCCGTGAAATCTTCTACTCCACCTGGTGTAGGGGATGACTTTTCCCTGATGAGTTCTGTGAGTTCTGTCACGTAACTAGGAGTTGGCTAAGGAAAATAAACTTGCTGCAAACAATTCACACATTTCTCCAACAAAAATTATTATAAACATTATTATCTTCCTTCCAGGGTCATCTCTTCTCCACCAACGGCAACTAGGTGAGAGGGAAGGAGAAACTCACTGGACCCCCAGTCTTGTAGACTCAAGGACACATGGTGGTGTGGTCCCCGAAGGATACTGCAGCTGCTCCAGGGCCTGGTGGTTGATGGTGCTCATGCTGTTATAGACAAAGCTGCTACAGAGAAGCACGGCCAGGGCAAAGATCCACGAGTCATTCTTAGATTTGTCCTAAGAATGGTAGGAAAGGTATTTAAGAGTTTACCATGTAAAAATAAGAGTTTAACATGTAGAAATTCATTCAGACACTAAGTCTATTAGTCTTTCAGTTTTATTTCAGCTAATGTACTCACCATGCAAAGTAGTAAGTTTAAAGACAGGCATAAAAGATATCAGTTTTGACAATTACAGAGGCATTTCTTGTGACTGTGACTTTTCACATATAAAAGAACTTTATCTTCACAGGGCTTTCTTTTTATTCAATGGGATGAAATATAATAACATATAGAAAAACTAGTATGGCTCCAGGTGTGTGATTAGGTATTCAAAGTTAAATGATAACACTGTGTATTCATTCTACACATATTTGGTAGTCATAGGCCATATAAAATTCACCGTAGTTGGAGTGACTGGGGATTCAGCTTATATGCAATTAAATTCAACAAATGTTTGTAGAAGCTACTGAGTGTTTTCCACAGTGCTTAAATTTCTAAAAGCAACATTTAAAATGTTATTATTTTCAAGATGACCTCTTTTTTTCCTCTTTTTTATTGTTGTTCAAGTACAGTTGTCTACACCAAGATGACTTCTTTAAAGCAGTGAAAAACATAACAATGAATACAACACTGATGCAGATATATATAAGAGGCTTACATCTTAGTAATGTATATAAACAGTGGATCCTAGAGCTATCATATCAATTAAAAGTTTAGATCTGTCAAGGAAAAACAGAATTATAAACATCAGGATAAAAATTACATGATAGAAAGTTTTCCACAAAGTCTTACTTGAGTGTTAAAGAATTGGTAGAATGTAGACTTGAAGAAATGAAGTTGATCCTGGAGGAAGAAAAACCCAGAGAAGCAAAGTTAGAGATAGTCAATCAAATACACAGATATTTGGAATAAAATCATAGTTATTTGGTTTGATGGGAGCAAAGGGTAGATCAAGAAGTTCAGGCTGTATAGTGAACCTAGTGTAGCCAGAGGAATTGCCTCAATGGCCATGATAATGTTATTTGTATGAATCACAGCCAGCCATATCTAAATAATGATATAATCAAGAAATTACTTCTAAACAGTCTAAAGCTGTCCCCTGAGAAACTGTATCAATGGGGACTTAGGGGACTCAATACAACAGTTTTTGGGGAAAATAGTCACTTCATTAATTTATTTCCCTGACCACAATTTTTTAAAGTAATCATTTAGGATAAGAAGAAAAGGCACTTACAACAATTATTTAGATAGTAAGACTACATCAGTGCTAATATGTAGGTTTAAAAATAAACTCAGAATTTTTAACTCTCCTTTGATTAGGAATAGAAAGTTGTAGAAATTTAAGTACTATTCCCCAAAAAAACCTCAAACTAAAGCAGAAAAGAAAAAAAATCTTTCATTTCACCCATTAATAGAAAATTAAAATCTTTTTTAAAATCCATTTTTTAATGACTTTGTTGGACAAATATATGTTTTTATAGGATCAGTGCATTCAGAGGTGTCTCAAAGCCTTACAGAATGCTCTGTGAGTGCTCAGTGAACTTCACCATAGGACTGTAGAGTCTTTGAGGGCACAGCCTTTACTTTGGTCACTAATATTTGCCGTACTAATCCAGATGCCTGGGAATTATGTGCTCAGAATTGTTTATTAAATTGAATAGAGCCAGAAATAAAAAAATAATAATAATTTTACTCACCATACCATGACACCTTAACTGAGAGAGATATTCCAATAAACCAAAATTAGCTTTCTATGTGTAGTTGGATTTCTAGATTTCAAAAAAAAATCACAGCAGTGAAATTACAATGAATTGTAAAACATTAAGAAGAAAATTCAGACTTACAATAATTTATCTATGACTGCCTGCCTTATGTTTTTTAAATCACCCAGGCCCTCAGTGTCCAGAAGGATCCAGGTATAATTAGGCTTAGAGGGGTGGGACACACACCACATCCAGATGCCCTTGGTTTCAGACCTCACTGTACAGCTCAGAGGGAAACCTGCAAGGGATGCACGGAAAGCAACATAAAATGAAAGCAGGAAATCTAAGCAGCCAAAGGCTACAAAGTCAGACTTGTTAGAATGTAAATTGTTGGAAAACGTCCTGTCTCATTTCAGGAATCATAGCCTCACTGACAGGCGAGAGGCCCCCAAGGCTGGAGCTAAGCAAGGAGAACGTGGGAAAATAGGCCACTGAAGAGACAAAATTTGTCCCCCTGGCATCCCTCACATCACCCTGCTTGGCCCCGAAAGATGGCTGGTTACTCAATGATGGGTGCGACCCCTCGATGGCAGGAGTAACCTAAGACAGGCACAGCTGCATGGATATCAGGGAAGAACTTGGGGAACACGGAGGAAGGGCAAAGACCCTCACCCCTCAATTTTGATATGGCTGGGGTCCTCATTCTATCTGAAAGAAGTCTCCTTGTCTCTTGGACACTCTGCTCCCTGTGACTGGCTCAGGCTTGAAACAATACTGGAGACAACCCTAAACTGGAGCGGGCAGTTCCTGGGGAAAATCAGGCCTAAAAGTAAATTCTTTGAAGCATGCTTTGTTTTTCTCTCAAAAGCTATGATAGCCAGCTCATGCTGGGAAGGAAATTTACATTATTCACAGACCCTGACCCTAAACCCTTTGGTACTCTTATGTTTACCTTCTAATGTTTACTCATCTCCTCTTGGACCCATTTAAATCGGTGTGTTCCCGCTATTTGTTTTCTTCAAAACATCACCTATTCTCTGTAAACATTACATACTGTGAAATTAAATCACCTGTACATTCCTACTGCCTAGCCCCACTGATAACCCTTTCAATAAAAGCCATTGGACACAGGGGTACAGGGCCTTCTCCACTAGAGGGAAGTGCCCCCCTTCTCCTGGCAGATAGAGAAATGTCTGGGACAACTTATTTTATTTCTTCTATCTGTTGACAATCCAAAGTGTACTCTGCAGGATAGAGTCTGTACTCCCTCCTCAGTAAGTACCCCAGAATACAAAATGGTCCTTTCTCTACTTCATAAAAATGTCGTACTTTGTGTGTCATTTATTCTCAGTAAAAGGGAATATAAAGTGTAAGAATAATGCCAGATAAGAACTCAATATGGAGGCATAGAGGCATCATTGAACCACAAATAATGAAGGTAACTGATTAACTATAACAAGAATATTTTGAAAGACTGGTAAAATTCAAAGCCAAGTACAAGTGAGTTAAAGAGTAACCTGGGAAGACAATAAGTAGGAACAAAGTTAAAATAATATTTTTTGCCAGGTGAAATAATTTTAAAAAAAAAGGAGTGGGGTATTGGTAGCCTCAATGGTATATAAATTCTTAAAGACTTTTTGAGATAATAGGTATTCAAACGCCTTTATATGTTGATGAAAATATTTCATAAAGTAAACAAACTATGTAGAGAGAGAGAGAAGACATGACTGAAAGAGTACGATGTTTGAGTATATTATAGAGAAGATGTTTCATAGGATTGTACACTTGAAACCTACATAATTTTATTAACCAATGTCACTCCCAATACATTCCATTTAAAAAAATTTTTTTTTAAATAGGACAGTGCTTGAAAGGTAAAAAAGGTAGGAATCTGCACATTGGTAGGCGAAATTTTCCTTAATGGAATAAAACAATGAACATGGTAACAGAATACAATTAGGTAATAATTTAGCGGTGAGAATTAGAATTAGAAGATTGTTTTATTGAGAGGAGTTTAGTTCTCCATGTAACCAGGGAATAAAACTAATAAACTGTGATAGAGAGTCAAAAAATGTCCCCTGCCTGAGGACAACACTCACCATGGTTCTGCCCTGCAAGACGGTTCATCAAGTAGGATTTGCCTGTGCGATACAGTCCCACCAAGGCCACGACCACCACTGGCTGAGCTATCTGGTCAAGAATCTGTACAGCTTCCTGATTCACTGACAGCTGCTCATTGTCGTTTTCTACCAGACAAATGGGGGTCATCATGTTGAGTCTAGGTGCCATGGCAACTTGCCAACCTGGAAGAACATCGTAGTTGGAAAAAGAATATAATGCCAGTCTCTGTTGCAGCATTATGCAAAGCACCCTTCATCTTAGGCTGTGTGAGTTTTCTGCTTCCTTTCTAAGTACACATATAGGCTAAGACTTACAATGAAAAATTAATCGATTTTAGGTTCTGCCCTTTCAGTGACTCTCTGCAAGGGCCAAAGTGCTCCCAAGGCCATGAGGATCACAGATTGAATGCCATTGCTGGCACTGGACAGCCAATTGTTATAGTGCACTAAAGTGGCTCTACCCAACGTGAGGGTCATCATCACTGAGAAGCAAAGCTGTCACCTCACGAGAACATCCTCCCACCAAACTTAAGACATAACCAGCTGCAAAGAGGGCAATGAGGCTGATGCTGAGGGAGGACCTGGCACTAGGATGATCCCAGAAACATAAGCCATGATTTATTAGCCAAAGATTTCATGCATCTCTTCTCTCGTGGTCCTCGTTGAGAACAACAATAGAACTGGTGACAAGTGTATTAGTATTCATCAAAATCTGAGCTTTTAAATTGACAGTTTGGTTTGACCTATGACAGACTAATGAAATGTAATACCTATAGAACCATTTACAATATTCAAGGAACTGGAAGAGTTTAAGTTTCTACAAGGAACAGTGTTTTGATTGCTCTCCTTTTTGAGAAGTCTTCAAAGTCCACTGGCCACAAAGTTTAAGTCATCCTCTGTTCAGGGAACTGAGTCATGGGATATTTATTTTGTTTTTCAGAATGAAGTGCGCATCAAAATTAAGAAATACATGTATGTTACAGGCCAATAAAAGGATCTAGTAATAAAACAGTCAACAAAGAATAGCAAGACTTCTGAAGTCTGCACCCTTTGTGTATCATTAAAAATATCTATGTGAAAATATTAAGTGGGTCTGCATAATTCCTGGACATGTCTAACTATAGGACTTTGTTAGGAAGCAGAAAGTACTAGGTACTCTCCATGAAGCACTGTGCTGGGCCTTCCCAATTTTCAGAACATATCAAGAATTAAGCTGAACTCGAGGTGCCCTGAGCAAGTTGGGGCCTGAGCAGCAGCTAACAGCCTAGTCTTGGGGACAGCATGCTTTTTCTCAACTTTTAAGGATGAGACTGGTAGTAGAGATGAGGCTACGATCTTTACACAGGCCATTTGTGTCTGGCCTTTCTTTTTCTTCCATTTCGTCCAGTAAAGAAAGGCAAGCCAGAGCTCCCTGAACTAAGTCTGCTTTTGATTAAAAAAAAAATAAATTAAAAGTTAAAATTTAAACAATTGCGTAGGAGATGAACTTAATGTAGAGTCACATTTGAGAACCATAAGTCCACCCTAATGTACATTATAATGAGGAATATTAAGCTCACAGATGAAGAAACTGACTCCACCACCCCTACCCCACCTCATTAAAGAGCAGGAGAAAACCCTAATAATCTCTCATCTCTCCGTGCACCTGTCTTTTCCCCTCCTCTTGCCACTGTCCTGGCTATGTGACATGCTGCAAGGCTGTCACCTCACAGCCACCTCTGCTCCAAATAAGAAGCTGAGCTTTCCCAGTACTAAAGCCACAACTGAACCCTGCAGTCCAGACTACAGGCGCCCTTACCACCTCATTTTTCAGAAGCCATTTTAAGTTAGAAATTGAATGGTTTAAGCTCAACACCAAGTTGCACGCAAAAGAAAGTTGATGAATTAGCACTTCTGCCTCACAGCCTCTGAGGTCAGTGGGTCCAAGAATGGGCTCCCAGTTGTCTCTCACTCTCCTTGCTCCCTTTCCTCCCTCCACTTTCCTGTTGCTAGTGCACAGAAGTTGAAAACAAACTGAGGAATTTTTATTCTCGCAAAGGAAAGAGCAAAACAACTGAACCTAAAAAGAAAAGTAACTGATGTAATTTGTTTGGTAGGGACCGCACATTTGGAAGCCTGAGGATAAAAAATACAGGCTCAGACCTTATAGTTGTTTTTACCAGTTGATTAAAATATACAATAGTATATTAGTTTCAGGTACTCACCCCAGTGATTTGACATTATATAACTTCCAAATGATCACCATCATAAATCTCATACCCATTTGACACCATGCATACTTATTAGAATATTATTAACTATATTCCTCATGCTGTACCTTACATGCTCATGGCTATTCTGAAAAACAGATTTGTACCTCTTAATTCTTACACCTTTTCCATCATCCCCCCAAGCCCCCTCCCATCTAGTGACTGGCAAAATGTCCTTTGTGCACAAGTATTGTCTCTGTTTTCTGGTTTTATCTTCTATTAAGGTTCTTCCCCTCACATTTGTATTTTGGTATGACAATTAATTAGAAACAGAATATGTGTAATTTTAAGGCATTCTACTGTACTAAACTACAGAATAAAATCTATACTCATGTAATCAAATTAGTCTTTGCTACATCTATTGCTTCCTGGATGGAAAGAAGTAGGTACAGTTTTGTTTTAATTTCACTGCTTATTTCTCTCTTCCTAAAATATTCCAAGTTGGTTTCAAAGGCATTAAAAGTGTTCATTTCACTTTCGTGAATCAGTTTTTTTGAAATTGGCTCTTTGACAACATGGTAAAAACTACCAATAGCTAGATTTTAGATTTTAATTTCCAAAATATTATAAAAAAATACATTACTAAAATGAAAAACTTGTTCCAAGAAAGATATTACACTGAATATGTCAGAAAATACATTGAAAAATGAAACATTGAAATGGCTTTATTTCCTTTAATATGCATCTATGATATAATATTACTGCCAATCATATTTTTACTGAAATATTTGTTGTTTAATATGAGTTTATATCCTATGCTTCCTATTCTCAGAATTAAAATCTACTCTTATTGTGTGACTTGTTGGCAAATTTTATAAATTGTCTTTACTTATTAATTTTAGAGTTGCGCAATGCTTTTGTTCCTGCAACATATAGTGGTACATTTCCTGGTACAAGTAATACAATTGTGAGACCCATTACCTTTGCCTATTTTAAGATGAACAAAGTAAAGTTCCCAATTTGGACAATCTATACCTTGAATAGAACAAATATTATAAAAATCAAGCAAGAGGTAGAACCTTATATTATTAATTTTAGACTTTTATATTTTATTTTTATTATTACTTAGATCAAAAATTTATAATTTCCCATGTAATAACTTCAACTTATGATTTTTATAGATGCTCACTATATATTTTCAAATATTGGGGGCTGTACAGTTCTCTCGCTGTTACTGAGTCCTACTCTGTAGTTTGTCAATCTTTCAAAATTTACTGAGACTTGTTTTATGTCTCTGGATGTGGTCTATCTTGATGAGTGTACTACGTACCTTGAAACGGAATGTGTTGGGTATTTGTGCTCCATAAATGTCAGTGATACTGATTTAATTAATAAGGTTGTTTATGCGCTTAGGAATGTTTTGTCTAGTTATTCTATTAGTTAATGACAGACAGGTGTAAAAGTCTCCAATTGCAGCCCTGGCTGGTGTGGCTCAGTGGACTGAGTGCAGGCCTGCAAACCAAAGGGTAGCCGGTTCAATTCCCAGCGGGGCACATGCCTGGGCTGCAGGCCAGGTCCCCAGTTGGGGGTGTGCAAGAGGCAACCACACATTGATGTTTCTCTCTGTCTTTCTCCCTCCTATCCTCTCTCTCTAGAAATAAATAAATAAAATCTTTAAAAAAATTAAAATAAAATTTTCAATTGCAGTGGTAGATTTGTACACAAATTATAGGGATTTGATTTTACCTACTTTAATTCCCTCAATATATGTCATAAATGTTGAAGCTCTATTAGCTACATAAACACACATTCATGATTGTTATATAATACTACTGATATTATATGTATGAAATATCCTTTTTTTGGGGAAAATCTTTTGGCAGAAAGTCTACTTTATCTAACATTAATATAGACACTTTAGGTGTATTCTTAGCATTTATACAATATATCTTTTTCTGCCTCTCTACAATTTTTTTGTGCTGTAATAAAGGGTGCTACTTGTGGACCACATAGAGTTGCATCTTGCTCCTTCTCCCCTTTACCGTTCACAGGCATTTTACCCATTAAACCTCTTGGGTATCTTATTTTGTAATGCGATCTGCTTTTTGGAGGAATTTTTTTAAAAAAGTGATGGGTGTTCAAATAATGTTACAAATAAAGTGCTTATTCTCTACAAAAACAACAGCTAATTGTATTAGGAGGGGTTACAGATGCCTTCACAGAGGAAGTGCCATGTCTTTTGGAACTTATAGAATGACTCACTTTGAACAAAGAGTGATTGGAAGAAAGGTATTTTAAAACAAAGGAAGGAAATGAACAAATATACAGAAGTAGGGACTAGATGGGAGGAATCAGGCAGGTCCAATGTAGCCAGTATAACAGGCTCACTGAGAATAATGTAGAAAGATCAATTGGGGCCTGGATCATGAACTATGATTCACAGGCAGGTGGATACTTTGAAAGTTGTTAGGCATGCTCAGAGCCATGTTTGAATTCCTTTTCTCTGATGACGAGAGTGGAGAGTGAATAAATTGAGGACATTAGAGAGCGAGATCAGTTAGGAGATGGGCGTTAGAGCTTAGAAGGCATACGGCAGTCCCACTGCTCTAGGCTCCCCACAGTCATTCAGGGATTGAGGTACCTTCCATTCTGTTGTTCCATACCACTAAGGTATTGTACACATCTGTGGGGTCAAAGGTTGAGTGAGTTAGCCACATCCGGTATCCAGGCAGTAAATGGAAAAGAGTGACTGATGGAGAACAGGCTCAGATTTGTCTCATCCAGACCCATGAGTATCATACGCATAATTCTGCTCACATTCCATGTGCACATGGCCACATTTAAATGCCAGAGCAACCAGAAAGATGTAATGTCTACCTGGGTTTCATGAAACCATCTCTTAAAGTACTACTGTACAATACTTGTAGCTAAAAATTCTGTCATAGTTCTAAAAGTCTATGCAAAGATATAGTGAGAGTTT